CGCTCTCTCTCTCTCTCTCTCTCTCTCCCTCTCTCTCTCTCTCTCTCTCTCTCTCTCACATACACATAAAAAAGAACAATGATTTGCAAATAGTCTGGTAGAAGTAGAAGGAAACCGCAGAAAAAAAAAAAACTGATAACTCGTGTCTCTCCCCTTCTCGCGCTATCACTCACACTGGTGTCTTCAACTGACTGTGACACGCCGAAAGCCGAAACACGTTTCTCTGCTTGATGATGAAAACGACGATGTAGACTTGACTTGAGACGCGATAGCCGATTTTACATCGATAGGATAATTAAATCGAGTTACCGAGTTTTCTTACGACGACGGAGCGTGACGGACGCGTGATGTCTCATCAGTAGCAGACTGCCTCCAACATCTCCACGAAGAGCTTGTTCATCGGTACTTTGCCCGTTTTGAACACACTAGACCAAAACCGCCTGACGATCCCATCAGCTTGCCTGAGACTGGGTAGTACTAGGAACATGTTCTGCGTGGCGCGAAGAGCTTGTCCAGGTCTCACCACCGCTACACAGTCCGACAAAGAATTCAAGATCGTATCGCGGAAACGGTAGAGCGCCTGTGGTTCGTCAGATCTAGCGTCGCTATTCGCTAGGATTAACGCCTTCAGCATGTAGTATTCCTCCCGTGTTAAGCCCAACCGCTGGATCCTCTCCACGATTTGTATACACTGTTTGAAAAAAGAGAGAGAAAGACGCGATCCGATAAGAAAGCGCGTGCAGTAAGCGATTGCCAAAAGAGACGAGAGATGACTGCAATCTCTAAGGACATCGATCCTCACATTGCGTGGTATACTCGAGGAGCTTACATTAAAATCGTCAAGTACGTGAAAACATATTTCCATAAAGCGGATCTAAGAGAATGAAAATGAACAACACATCACCGATGATTAGTATCAAGAGACACTTGCGCATAAAGTCGCAACTCGGTCGATGATTACTTACATGCGTGTACAGATCCATACAGTGGCACTCGTGCGCGAGTCTCTCATCCAACGTGAAGTCTTGTGCGAACCTCAATCTACCACTGTTTGGCGTACTTCTCCATGCGAGTGTAAAGGTCAGGATCTCGGCCCAGGTGCTCTGCAGAAGTCGTATCTGATCGTTTAGCGCTAAACTGCTGAATCCCGGAATCTGCTTGGCCCAACCTGTGGAAGAACAAGCATACAAGTCGCGTCAGTTAAGTAGAAACAAAAAGCTTTGAGTCTCTCTGGTGCACAGCACAACCACGCATGTTGCCTGCACGGCACTCTTACCGATTATTCCGACCAACTCTCGATCATACAGATCCGACAATTGGCCGAGCACTCTCTGGTCCGTCTCCAACGTATGCGAGATATTAGACACTTGAAGCATGTCCGGCTCGCAGGCAGTCAAGGCCTCCACCATCTTGTTGTCTGCAACACATAAGCCATCGAATGCTCCTTCGTTTAAATTGCCTTAGGCCGACGTGCTAAAATACCTATATATATTAATCACTAGTAAGCGTAAAGAAAGTAGGTACAATCTTAAAAGCGTTAAAGACCTGACGAGTTGTAACATAAAACAGAATCGAGGATTACAAACGAAATCAACTTAAAAAGCTGGTGAGAAACTACAATATAGAATAGAAATATACAATGAAACGATTCGATATCTTACTTATCGTTTCGGTAGGAGCTGCCGACGCTACTACGTTAGCTTGAAACATCGAGAACAGTTCAGAGTTAGTAGGATTTTTCGAGAGAAACAGGGAGAACGATGAGAATCTATTATTTTGGATCGGTCGGGAAGTTTGGTTCGATTTTCGAGTCAAATGTCATTCTATCGTCAATTCAACGGAAATAAATTATTCATCGATCAAGCAATCAGCGTTTTTTGTCTGTGACAATTTGCCAACGCTTTGGCAGCTTTCGTACATCTATTTCGTCGAAGATGGCCGACTCAGCTGAAGGACAAAGCTAAAAAATCGAATCGAACTTTTCGACTATAACCCAATAGCTATCTCTCTTTTATCCGCTATCGTGGGATCGATGTAAGATATGGCGACGCAGGGTCGCATAAAAGACAGTTACCCTCTAGCGTGGTGCTCTTAACGGGCGTGTAGGGATCCGTGGACCTTCTGTACTTTTGTCGACCACCCCTGACGCGATCCAACCTCACGCCTTCCTTCAGCATGCCTTGCCGCAAGCATTTCTGAAATCTACACGCCTGGCACGCCTTCCGCCTGCGTTTGTTAATCTCGCACTCGCCGTTCGCCGGACACGTGTACTCGATGTTTCCTGTAAAATTACTGGCTATTTTATCGTAATATACGCGGTCCTGCCCCAGATAGCACCAAATCGGTCGTTAGGTACTTCAGAATGTCCCAGCCCTGGTGCCGATTGTCTCTCTTATCGGCAAGTTGTTCGCTTTGTGATTCGATTTTCCTTCGCGCAATACGACGTCGCATAAAAGAGAGAGAGAGAGAGAGAGAGAGAGAGAGAGAGAGAGAGAGAAGCCATTTAAAACGGCTTCATGCAATCTCTCTCGCATATCTGATCATTGATATGAATCAAGAATGCATCCTCATGCGGTATTTCTTATGTCACATAATGATACTTGTGATGCGTTTCTTTTGAGGAGTGAAATTCCTTGTCGCATTTATATTAACGACGAGACGGACAGAGGATTCATATACGGTAGCCTAACATATAAATTTCGTACAATCGATAGCGCAATGCGCATTAACCTAGTAGTCCTTGGTGCTATCTGGACGAATTATTGTAGCCTGTGGCTCGAAGATCGATAAGCCTCTCTTACCTTGTATAGTCCTTTTGAAGAAAGCCTTACACGCTTCGCAGGAGGCAACACCATAGTGAAAACCGCTTGCAACATCTCCGCAAACCAGGCAGAGTCTTCTGGGCATCATATCTTCTTCCTTGACACCGTCCTACGCAGATAATGCAACGATATTCGAGTAAATCGTACGCTCGATGTGACTGAGAAATTTATAAAAGAAACACATTCGCGATTACATACATCCGTAGCTCCCAAAGGCTGCGTAGTGGAAGAGCAATGATGCATCTCTGGACTCTCAGGACTGCCACCGCTATCGCCATAATCTGGCGGAATGTCCAGTTTCGTGCATATTGACTGCAAAAACAAACAGTTTCAAAATGACAAAGTGCGCGAATGGTGTAACAGCATATGTTCAATAAATTGTAATGGATGGTACGGATAACGAATGATCAATGAATTATAAAACGATCGCTATAGTTAACCGTTAATCACTGACACGTATACACAGATTATTTTATAGAGGCAAATTTCATCATCTAATATTTTCATCGAGTTATGATTTATAACTGTTCATTAACAATAATTTGACTGAGTGCCGTCTGTTGATACATTTTCCATTTTCAATATTAAACTCCGCAACGTTAAATGTCATTCAAAATTGAATAAAAAGAAGAAATGTCATTCAAAATTGAATAAAAAGAAGTGTATTACTTATCTGAATTAGTGGCAATCCATTTTAGGGAGACAATTATTAATTTCGAATCGCATATATGCACTCAATTGAAAAAAGCTGTTGCCAATGGATGTTTGAAGAAAGAAAGAAAGTAAGTATTTTCGAATCCTCAATCTGACCATTCCAAAGTTTGTACTTTCAACTATAATATTCTGCGTATGCGTGTTGACTGCACAGAGCATCTCGCCGTTACCGTATCAACATTTAATGGCAGATATGTAATGGTCAATTTGAAGTCGACTTTTCCTCAATCAAGATATCAAGAGAAGTCATTAAAAAATGCTATCAAAGCTCGAGGCAAAATCGACTACAATCCATCCAAAGTTCTTACTGCCATGAATTCATTGAAAGTCATAATGCAAAGAGTTCAGTTGGAATTAAACCACAAAAAATATCAGGTCGGCATCACTGATTGTTAAATAGATGAAATGATTTGAGATTAAAAAAAAAAATAAATAAATCTTCATAGCATTCGTTTATTTCGTTAATCGTGTGTAACATTGTCGAAACAAAAGAATACACAATCATTTCTCCGCAAAACGCTGCAACACACATGAAAATCAAACACCTGGAGGTTCGAACCAAAAATCTTTCGTTGCTGCAGTCATTTTGTATACGCGATAAAGCTTTCGTCCCAAGATCGTTGGCCGTTTAATGGGTTTCGAGCGTTGATGCGGTAACGACATGCGGTGCACATCTCTGTACGTTCCGTCCCGGTGAGAAATCGATCGACGATCGATCGAGTTCTCTCAACAACTTTAATACCTCCTGGTGCTGAAGGGTCGTGGTAGGCGAGCATACTTGATAATTTTGCGTAGGTGTCGACGGATTGTCGACTTCCTGCTTGATGTTCGGCATCGTCGTCCTGTTATTCCCAATCATACTTTCCGTAGTAGCGCCAGACATCATACAGACCTGTCGAGAGATACGAGAGAGATAACGTAGTCTCTGTTCCTGTGTGGCGACATCGACGAGGGCGTATCTCGTGCGTCCGCGGGTCGCGAATCTTAATCGGATTATCGCGCGCGCGCGAGAGAGAGAAAGAGAGAGAGGGAAAAAATGCCGCAAGAATGTCGATTATTCGTGATCCAACGGTGGGACGAGAGACGAGACACAGGTCGGGCCGTGAGCATCGTCGCGAAAATATAATAAGAGAGAACTACATCGCGCCCGTCGCGCGCGATCTTCTCTGCAACGTCGTCGTTGGTTGCACCTTTTTTGCGGCCGCTATATTTAAGTACGGCCAACGCCTTGAGCATTTTTAGAATTGACTTCGGAGAATTCGCGGTAGCGCGCCAGCTAGTGCCTCCCGACGAAGAGAGATCGCGGCCTTTTTTTCCTCCACGGGCCGATCTACCTGCGTGCATACGCGACAATATGAGGGAGAGGCCCGGAAAATATGAAAACTGAGAACCCTGGTGCGTATTATTACAATAGCGTGCTGTATAGCGAGCACAAGATACGATTACCTGAGGTAACCGCTGACTCGATGGTAACTCTAGCCATTATTTCAAATATCGATGTGTTGTGTGTGTGTGTGTGTGTGTGTGTATATGTGTATGATGTATACACGTGTGCCTGTGTACAAACAACACTTGGACTCGTAAGAAAAACAAATTAATTTGCTCGCCTCCGTCTATACGGCCGAGTACATCTCTAAACGATCGACCGATTAGCCTTTATGCGCTTGCAGGCACTCTCGAGTCTCGATTAAGTATTCGAATCCTAATCCTGAGTGAGACTTTGTCTCTGAGTGTCTCTTGTCTGTAAACGGTCCAAAATTCTCCGGCACGTCCAATGTTCCCCGTCGACGGTATCTGATATACACGCACACACTGTAGCGAGTGACACAGCCATAAAATAGAAACGTGCGTATTGGCTTTGTCTTCGTTCCTTTCTTGAATCGAGTCGCGCTCCTTCCTCGATATATATACTTCGAGGTGTACTATACTTCGGCACGAGGTCATAAGTATACCACGTGCAAGTCTCGCGCTTTAATAAACTTGATCTTTTTTTATCCTACGTCTGATGCTTTAATTATTCGCAATCACAAAAAACCGCTGTAACGTCTGACTTCTCTCGTTAAGATGTAAATTGTGCAAAAAGAAATATAGAATATAGGACATACTTGATAAAGTGTATAATTTAAGTGTAGACTTTATCTCGTCCCTGGGGTGTGTGTGTCGGAGCGCAAGGTTCCTGCGGGAGTTTCTTGATGTGATACGTTCAAGAATAATAACTGATTCGAAGACGCTGCCATTGGGTGAGACTATGTTAACAAGCGGCTCTCGAGTGCGCGGCCCTAGAATACAGAGTTCGCCAATCGGCGAACAAAGTAACGGTGAAAGGATTGCGTAAGTCCCCTTTCTCCCTCCCTTTCTGTTCGGTCTCGTGGTAGTATCGTGCGTGGCCGCAGAAAGCGAGAGTCGCGCGTACGGAAGAAGGTGGTGGCGGAGCGTCTAGTCGACCTTGAACTTGATTTCTTTCCGATACAAAGGCGCCGTGCTTTCGCTCGCGGGAGCGAGGGCGAGAGCGACCACCATCAACTCAATCCTATCGGCATATCGCGCTGAATTTACAACGGAATTGCCGGAGAGATCGGAAACCGCGATGAGTCATGTCGCGTTTCTGCCAGAAAGTCGCCGGTTGTACGGCGAACGCGGAGTTTTATTCCGACGAGGGTGCTTCGAGATGCGGCAGCAGCTCAGCGAATCTGAGACCTCGATCGGACCCTGTCATTGTTCACCGACCTCACCGGTACAATGACGAGAGTCTCGCTCGTACCAACTGTGTGTTCGGAATCCGATCAAATTGGTCAGAAACGCGTGTAGACTCAACCGGATCCCGCTCGCGTGCGGGAACACAAATTCACGCGGAAAACGCTGTTTATCAACCAATTTGTTCGTCGTCGTAATTATAGATTTGTTTCCTCGTGATCACGACGATATAAATACCAACAAAACCGATAATCTCGTGCCTGCTTCCTGCCGCCTCTCTCAGACGCAACTTTTCAAAAGGAACGGCCGATCGCTAAAGCGAGCTTGCACTTGACGCGAAAGATGTGTCGGTGCGCGATCGGCCCTACGTCTATTACTATTTATTCCAGCGAGTGGCTAAAAGGGAGGGAAAGGGTTGCGTAAGTCTCTTCTCCTTCCTCCGTTCGATCCACGTTTGATTGAGAGCTCGAGAGGAACGTGTGGAAGAGAATGTTGTGTGTAAATGTGTTTAAGAGAAAGACAGAGAGAGCGAGAGAGAGAGAGAGAGAGAGAGAGAGAGAGAAAGAAGGGGGAGGGGGAGATAGAGAGAAAGAGGCAAGAGAGGCCTCGAAGCGGCGTCTCGCTGGCCTTGAACTTGACTTTTCTGCGAGAGAGCGAGAAGCTGCCGCGCGCGTTCGCGAAGGCCGCGCGGAGCCACGGCATCGCAATTTTAGACGCCGCCGACTGCCGGCGGAAACGGCCGACAAGCACGACCTTGGGCCTCTCAATCTCGTTTTATCTCGTTTTATCTCCTCCTCTGTCCTACCTTCCTGCTGCCTGTGCGTCCGTGACTCTCCTCCGTTCACCGCATCGCATCGGCGCGCAATGGCGCGACGTGACGTGGACGCGACGCGGATCCTGATGCTGCGCTACCGACACCTTTCACGGACATCATCGTGACGCGACGCGACGCGACGCGACGCGACGCGCCGTACCGCGCTTGTCTCTGTGCTGGTGAATGGGTAGAAGCGCGAAAAAACCGCGTACGAATCATCCGGACATTGCGCCAAGTTGCCAGCAAAACAACCCGACTTAACGGTACAAAGCGCCGTCGATGAATTTCCTTGTCTTTTTTTCTTTTTTTCTTTTTCTTTAATTGGCCCGTCTCGGTGATTCTAAGTAGAATGGTTCTTTGAACCTCGCTTCGAGAGAGAGAGAGATATGACGCATAGACGCATGCTCCGGATGACTCTGGCATCTAGAAAGCCGAAATATCAACTATCGATATATG